TTTCTTTGGATAAAAGCGTCTAACAAGTGACATGTCATGTAATGAGTTCAGTTATAAGTTAGCAAAATCAATCAAATGAAGGTCAATGATGGTTGAGTTGAAGATGCTTCACAGCTTTCATCACAGCTCTCCAGAGGGTTTACTTTATTTAGTTGGCAGCTCATTCCTTGGAACAGCAGCTTCAGATTGCTGATAACAAGAGGACATAGGAGGGGTGTATTTCAAGGTGGTTATGTAAATAAGTTATTGGGCTTTTTTCTGATCAACTTAGATTTGTTAGGAAATGTTTTCAGCTTGAATTGACTGAAAGTGGGCGTATCAACACATGAACACTGTGTAATATATGTTTACATGTATATTTAAGAAGTACAATACAAGACAAGCCATCAGGTCTCACATCACTTCTCTATCACTCTGGATTGAATTAAAGCAGAATGAAATGAGCCAGCAGTCCCAACGTAGTGAGAGTCGATGAAGGGGAACTCACTCTGAGAGCGAAGCCAGACCTCCTCCATTAATCTCCTCCAGGCTCCATCGTCACGCCTCTGTGGGTTCATTGGCTGTAGTAATTAGGCAGCGTAATGAAAGGGTCTCTGTGTTACATTACTACAGCTACTAAATGAGAAAATAAATTAACCAATCAATGAGAAACAAAGTCTTAGAGTTAAAAATAGAAAGGTCAGCATTTATCTTCCAGAAACAGACATGGAGATAATAATGATTTCAGCTTTTACTTCTTTTAGTTTATTTTTAATGTGATTTACACAAAGGCCGAAACCATGCAGATAGTTCTCAACTGATGGTTCATGTGAGTCTCCTGACACACCGGCATAGAGTACACACATCCTTTACTCGAGTAGAAGTACACACATCCTTTACTCAAGTAGAAGTACACACATCCTTTACTCAAGTAGAAGTACACACATCCTTTACTCAAGTAGAAGTACACACATCCTTTACTCGAGTAGAAGTACACCCATCCTTTACTCAAGTAGAAGTACACACATCCTTTACTCAAGTAGAAGTACACCCATCCTTTACTCAAGCAGAAGTACACACATGCTTTACTCAAGTAGAAGTACACACATCCTTTACTCAAGTAGAAGTACACACATCCTTTACTCAAGTAGAAGTACACACATCCTTTACTCGAGTAGAAGTACACACATCCTTTACTCNAAATACAGTTGCAAGAAAAACCCTTTGGAACTTCCTGGATTTCTGCATAAATTGGTCATAAAATGTGTTCTGATCTTCATCTAAGTCACAACAATAGACTGTCTATTGTTGTGACTTAGATGAAGATCAGAACACATTTTATGACCAATTTATGCAGAAATCCAGGAAGTTCCAAAGGGTTTTTCTTGCAACTGTATTTACGCCATATAATTGAAATATTAATAGTGTTTGGCGATTAGACCCCAATCCTGATATCATATATCTAAAGGGCGAAGTGAGTATAATAGAAAAACCATAACATTTATGTATTTAGCATCCTATGTTTATATATTTAGTTTTAGCAGTACATTTGTCTATTACAGTGTATTCTTACTTATTTTGTATATTTGATATTGTGTTTTCTATGGATACCCTATAGGTATTTATCTTTATACTGTTGATATACAGTATATATTTAAAACATAGCAATGCCTTGTTAACATGCTGCTGTAACAAAACTATTTCCCAATTTGTGATCAATGAATATATCTAATCTAAATATTATTTATATATTATTTTATTACAATGAATCATCTTTGACTTTGTGTCACTATAACACCAAGGCACACACGTCACTGTTTTTATTCTGTTGTCTATTTTATTATATTGTTGTTGTTTTGTTTCAACCATTTTACTCCGTAGCACTTTGAGTTGTGTTTACTCAAATGAAAAGTGCGCTTGTAAATAAAATGGATTATTANCTAAATATTATTTATATATTATTTTATTACAATGAATCATCTTTGACTTTGTGTCACTATAACACCAAGGCACACACGTCACTGTTTTTTATATTGTTGTTGTTTTGTTAAAACCATTTTACTCCGTAGCAGTTTGAGTTGTGTTTACTCAAATGAAAAGTGCGCTTGTAAATAAAATGGATTATTATTATTAATTTGTAAATACATTTTAAACTTGTTTTTTTGTGGTCATTTTATCTTCTTGTCTGTATTGCAGGTCGCTGGGAGTGTCCGTGGCATCAGTGTGATGTCTGCTGTACGGAGGCGGCCTCTTTCTGCGAGATGTGCCCCAGCTCGTTCTGCAACCTGCACCGCGACGGCCTGCTCTTCATCTCCAAGCTGGACGGGAAGCTGTGCTGCAGCGAGCACGACCCCTGTGGTCCGGACCCCCTGGAGCCGGGGGAGATCAGAGAGTACAGCACCCCTCCCAGAGCCCTGACCTCGGGGCTGGGCATGGCCGTCATCCCCTCCTCTGGCCCAAACACCTCCGGGACCACCGGACAGAACCAGAACTCCAGGAAGGTGCGAGAGGTCGTCGAAGCTGAGACACTTCCTGCTTTCTCCATCCCGGTTGCCATCACTATCCCCGTCCCCCCCGGCTCCTCGTCTCCTCCCAGCAGCCCTCCGGTGTACGACCTCCCTCACTACTCGCCCATATCCTCGTATGAAGAGGAGAGAGACGTGGAAGAGGAGGAGCTTCTGGATGAAGTGGAGGAGGAGGAGGAGTCGGAGGAAGAGGAAGAGGAGAGGAGGAAGAAGAAGGTGAGGAGACGAGCCAGAAATCAGATCCTCATGAAGAGGATGGAGAGGCAGTGATGGAGTACGTGGAGATCAAAGAGGAGGATGAGGAGGAGGATGAGGAGGAGGAAGAGGAAGAGGAGGAGGAGGAGGAGGAGGAAGAGGAAGAAGAGGAAGAGGAGTGACGCATGTTGGATTATTATATCTGCAGGCGAGAGCCCTCAGCAAATGAAGATTTCCCGACCACACGTAGCCCGGTCTGTCACTGTTTGTATCTGATGAGCTCGTGGACATATGGAGGAACATTTTAGGACAAAGATAAATCAACACATAAAATAAATAAGAATAAAATACTGTACAGAACCATATTTATACACAGCAGATATTATTTATTTAGTTTTGTCCTCACAATCCTAACACTCTTGACGCAGTGACTTTGCACACACTGGCGCAGACTGCACCTTCAAACTCGAGATCTGACAAAGAAAATCATCTGGGACTTCTCCATGAAAATGACTTTGTAAACATATTTCTCACCGATTTCTCTTAGTATTTGCAGTATTGCAAGAAGCTTCATGTAGTTGGAGAGAGTCGTTGTATCTGCAGAGTGTACTGTAGGTGTTTCGTGCTAGAAAAGACTGCATCTTCAGTCCATGTTATTAACCTTGACTTGGTTGCATTTGAATCAAATGGTGACCACGTGTTTGAAAGACCCAGAAACACATTACATGTTCTCTTAATAACTCAATGGTCTGCTATCAGCACAGCTTCAACTGGACTCAGAAGGAATTCCTTGGGAGTTTTAAAATATCAGTTTAACTAAAGTATGTATAATATAATTTTACTCGACCCAGGCTTCCATTTTACTCCCCTGCCTATTTCCTACGGTGCTTCACAGTCAGACGATCTACGATAATATGTGAATGTGCCACATGATGGGCTGCCTGGTGTAGCTTCAAGGTGAAATCCACGACGCAAACAACAGGCTTTTTGCTGGTTTGAGACCGAAGCTGGCAGCGGCAAGCATCAACATTTGACCATTTCATGCCAAAAAAACTGCTGAGGATTCAGTGTGAGCGAGAATAGTCCTCGTGCTTCAGAGAAAGTGTTTATACACCGTCTCGTAGGTTAATTAGCAGCTCTACAAGGAGACATAGCAGAGATAGCACTGTGTGTGTATGCTGTGCTCTGTAGTCATTATTTATGAACTGTTCTGTGATGACGATGAGGAGATCCATCGAGGGGAATCAAGGGTCTTCAGCGGGACGTTCAAACAGACTTCCACCATGACGCTTGCACTTGTTTTTTTGCCATGCGTGTTTTCGCTCTGTCTTCAAGCTTATTATGGTCTGTGTTATCTGCCAATGCCTTAGAGTGTATTTCTTTGGAGATATTTTGAAGGAATGGTTTCCCTACTTATGCCTTTTTACAGTTTCCCAAAAGCAATGTTTCATTCCTGTGTAATTATGACCTGTTAGATCTCAACCATTGACCTGCTATATATATATAAATATATATGGAAAAGAAAATAGGAAATAAGCTTCGTACTGGCCTCGTTCTTTTTGTTTATTGGTCCAACATGAAGCTACATCTGTGAGCCTCTTTATAATGGGTTTGATGACACAAGCTATACTAACTACTCATGTGGCTTTAAATATATTTAATTGAATCAATGCCAATGCATATAAGTGCTTCGTAAAATATTTTGAAAAGGGTAAGAGAACGATTAGCCTCACTGTTTTTTTTGTTGTCGTTATGCTTACGAAACTTAGTAAAAATAATATGGTTGTAACATTTAAATGTCCTGCAAAGTACGATTGAGATTTTTTCGGAAAGACTGATTTGCAAAATGCTAATGAACTTGAGATTTCAGCAGCACAGTGAAGTTTGTAAGTTGGATATTCGGCCGACATCTTACAGGGCGTCTTCCTGTCTTAAATGACACAAAACCAATTAGGCTACTATATTCATTTGAATATTTCGTTGTCTTTCAAAGGTCCATTTTGAACAGCTTTCATGTCATGTGACTCATTGACTCTTAATCAATATGACATTGTATAACTACTCTGGAAAAGGGGGCCACACTTCTTATTGATTCGAGTGCTCCTTCTATTGGATACAATTATCTTCTTCACTTCTGGATAGATTATGGAGTCTTTACAACACATGACATGGAAACTGTTAAAAAAAAAAGAAATCCTTTTATCCATTTCATTATGGATTGGGATGATTTGTAATACATTTCCTTTCCCGTATATTGCCATTATTCTTACCCAAGGCAAAAGAGTGAATCCCCATCAGATCTTTAAAAAGTTATTTCAACAAGCTTTTAATTTCACAGAACATATGACTTTACATCGCCCTCCATAAAAAATATTGTGCATTTAATTTCCAGCAAATGACACATCAACACGTCAAAGCAGCGACACGGAGGAAACAGATATTATCTTTTATTTCCCCACGTCTTCCAGGCAGCATAACTTAAAAAGGCAATAAATTAGAGTCCTGAAGTGAGACAGCTGTACAGATTGTTCTGAGGACATCGAGAGGACATGTTTCCACATTCAACCACAACGGCTTTTCTCTTGTTGGTGAAATCTGCAGTTTTTCACCATAGTGGAGGGGAACTTAAGTGTTTCTTAAAAGCTTCAAAAAGGAACATGTCACTGAAGCAACAGACTGAACGAATATTTGCCAGTCACGTTTCCATATGTGCTCTATGCATTTGAAATGACAAAATATAATTTTAGAGTTTAAATGTGGAAAAGCAAACGTTAAAATGTTCTTTCAGTCTGCTCAGGTCATGCAGTTGAATTACAGAGATTTTGGCGTCAAGTGAAATCAGAATCATAGCTTATTCTGCAAAAGATGATGTGCCAGAAACATGTTGTCGTCACTGTGGATGTATTATAGGAACATGAAACTGGACTACAAAGATGGCGGCCATTCATTTGAAAGAAAGTGCATAACCACATTTTTTACCAACTTCAGTACATCCCATAAACGTTACATTGGGATGACTTGGAGGGCTATTCAGACATCAATATATGCGTTGTCAATAGTCTTATAGACGTCTCTTTTATAATGGCAGTCTCACCGGGAAAAGCTTTTAGGTGCGGCAGTGTTTTTTTATTTCTGCAGTACCACGAGTGACCCCTGCTTGTTATCAATACATCCAGAATGTTTTTGTAAACGTTAAAGAGCCAGCGCTCTGCAAAATGTTGGACATTTAATTTGTGGGTAGTAAGGCATAAATTCATATCATTCGTATCATTTCATTCATGCACTGGTGAGACTTCTTTTAAGGTCTGATCAAAATCGTTTTCTTCCTTGTTTCATAAGTTACGATAGATAGGGGGGACAAGAGGTTATGCTTTTACAAAGATGATAACCTTTTTGGTAACTTTAAGAAACCCTTTTCCCCAACCAAAATACATTTAAAAAAGGGATCTTAAATACTGCAAAACCTTATTTTCCTCCACCTTCCCTCTAGTCATAGAGAGAAACATATTTAGATCAGATGTCAAGAGTTGTCTCACCAGACTTAGTTTTTCTCATCGGCCTCTCAGGGCTTCTGTAAACGGGAACATTGGAGTGTTTGGTTTTTCAGATCCAGCTTGCTTCACTCCACTCCTGTCAGGTTGTGCAGGAATAACAGACAACAAGGTTAAATAGCTGAACAAAAGCCCTCCTCGATCTCTGCACTGCAAACAATCACTTTTTTTACTTCTGTGGTCCAATCCAGAAGAAGCTACGGAAGAACAAGGACATCGCTGGGTAAAGTGTTGTGTTGTTTCCATCCCTCACAGCCAGTAACAGCCTCTGGCAGATCTTCTTCCATAACGTTTTTCAGCCGTCAGTTTTTTTTTTTTTAATGGCACAAAAGAAACCTATTGAAAAACATATTGTGCAACTTGGTATTTTGTGACTTGGATCCCAGCTCCAGAGCAGAGTTTCCCATCAAATGTATCCAGCATAAAATCCAGGTTTTTCATCCAACCGGAAGTGAGGCGAACAAGTCCGTTTCCCTTCCTCTTCCTCAGTTGTTATGGCAACAGGAATAGAAATATGAGTCCTTCTTCTGGCTCAAGTCCACGCTCGTTTCCTCTGCTGAAACACAGGAAGACACAGTATACGGTATTTAAAAATACATTATCTTGATCCCTCTTTCTCTTGCTGCATCTTGTCTCTAACCATAACACTAAATAACATGTATGTTATAAGAGCATTCAAAAGTAGGGATGGTAAATGGACTGTACTTATATAGCGCTTTGTCCAGTCTTTAAGACCCCTCAAAGCGCTTTACATACGACATGTCGTTCACCCATTCACACCCATTCATACAGAGCAGTGTACCTTAGGATCTAACATTCACACACCGTTGGCCATCGGGAGCAACTCAGGGTTAAGTATCTCGCCCCAGGATACATTGACATGTTGAGTGCATGGGCTGGGATCGAACCCACAACCTTCTGGTTGAGAGACGACCGCACGGCCTCGCAGCCACAGTCGCCCATAAGTAATCTAAATATTTGGTCTAGGAAAATGTGTGAATGAAGCATTTCGCAGAGAAGTCCCGGCCTACAAACTGTATTCTGTAGACTTAATAAAAAAGCCCTGTTTGGTACGGATCCTCTTAAAAAAAAATGATACCATGAGCATTTTAATGATAAAAGATGATTTTAAAAAAAATTATCGATTCGTATAATACAACATATTATCACAATTGCAATATCAGTCAATATAATCACAATGAGATTTTCTATCAAATCGTGCAGCCCTATCCAAGAGTAGATATAAATAAGACTTGAATTAGCCAATAGCCTCAAAGGAGTTTGTTCATAAGTTGCTTCGGTATTCTATCATTCGTCTATCTCACTGTATATTTCTTATTGTCTGTTTACATGTCGCTGTACTCGGCCGGTTTAGTCCTGTTATCACTTATTATCACTAAATCAGCAGGTCACCATTGAAAAAGAGGTCAATGATCTCAATGGGTTTTCACCTGAATAAATAAAGGTTTTGAATTGAATTGAATTGAAATGAATAGCTAAGTAACAGCTCTGGGACAAATTCAGGTGGTAGACTTTCTATTTTCTTTTAGATTATAGCCAAATAAACTGTTTCTAGGTCTACACAGATGAATGAGAGATACTTACACTAGGGCAGGTGTTAAGTTGTATCAATGGAGAGCAGTGAGCGGTGAGTTTGGGGGGGAAAGGGGTCAGTATGTCCCAATCCCCTATTTAAAGGATTCATCCACAGTGTGTGTTAATAAAGCACTCACGTTTCATTTCCTGGAAGGCATTGCTGTTGTAATCCTCTGCAACTTTCTGGAACAACTCATCTGTCAGGGAGAGGAAGAACGAGTCCTGTCAGTTTCCATCAGTTCATTCACAGAAACAAGTCCATGCGGTATAAAAGCAAAGAGTCCATTCGGCTCAGTGCACTTTCACTATGACGTTATCTCTGCTAGGAAACATGCAGCGAGGCTAAAAGGCCACACATAAGCCATTACTGCGTTTCTCTCCTAGAATCTGAATTATTTACACAAGTTAATGTTGTGGTAGATTGTAAAACTGTAACGTATAATGTTCATTCGGATATAAATACGTTTTTAAAATAGTTTCCATGAACTGTTTACAGATAAAAGGCTGTGAGACTCTCTTCCTCTGTGCTGTCTTTTTTTTATAAAAACATAAATATATGTCTCCTACGTCTCAACTTGACTCATGTGTTAGGTTTTTATGCACTTCCCTTTTTCCTTCAAGAGAATCAGGGCTGCTTTCAAATAGCCACGGCTACATTCCCCTCGTTAATATAGTTGTAATGTTTCCCATGCTGGCATCAAGCTCTCGATAATACTGCTGAGATTGTTATCTTTACTGCAAATGTAATGCCACTGCCTTTTGTCCTTCAAACATACTGAAGACACCCATTATGTAAATACTTGTGTCCCAGCTGATTTTAAAAGTATTGATCTGCCAACAATCTGAAATCATTCAAAAAAGCCCTCAAAACTCACCTTTTCACTCTTCCCTTCAACTCCTCACCCACTAACTCCTCACCCACTAACCCCTCGCCCCTATTCCACCGAGCTTTGAACATTTTATATTTGTTGTTATTTTTCTTTACTTGCTTGTAAAGCGCTTTGAGCACCAGGAAAAGCGCTATATAAATATTATTATTATGATGCAGAGAAAGATTAAATGTGTGCAGTTAATGAACATCAAGAGAACACCCAGCTCTTCTTCGAACAATGATAATACATATTCTTCTTTTTGTTTCCTCATTGATGTTGTTAGTTGCATGTCCATACAGACTTATTGTGTTTTAAAGGTCACCTATCATGCTATTTTTAGGCCATAGCATATAAAGCATATACAAATATATAAAAAACATGTCAATTAAGTGTTTTGTTCAAAATACCAAACAGATCACCCATTCTAGCCGTGCCTCATATCCCTCTATTTCACTTCCTGTTTCAAAAGTGATGATTAGGGGTATAAAGCTTTTTTTTTTTAAATGATTTTTTTTAAAAAGGAGGGGGCTGAGCGCATGCGGGACCCGGCAGCTACTGTCTAAACTAAATGCTGCCATCATGGATTATCAAGGATTATCTCTGAAACAGTATGGAGCTCAAAGGCTTTCTCTCTTGCCGGTTATACCACAAGGTGAGTTCCTTTTTATTTCCTGCTTCTTCACANATGCGTGTTCGTGCATATACCACACACCCAATTACGATTGCATGTTCAATTCACTACCCTGGAAGTTAATACAGTTGTTAAAGTTGGAACAGCCTGTGGACAGCCGTTCTTCCTTGCATGTCAGTCGCCGACACCTTCTTACAGAGGACAGGCACATCTAGCTGCAGCACGACCCGTATATTTCCGCACGCCGTGTTCTCAAGACATATTTTTTTTAACATTTTCAACATGGTGGATAAATCCTTATATGCTCCCGGCAACACACTGAACGTCAACTTTGCCTCCTTATTACACTCACCCCTACTTTAGTGGGAACAATGAGTCTGCGTCTTTGATGCACACAGGAATAAACGCAGATCATACTCTGGCTGCAGCCTTTACCGGTACTTGTTTTTGATCAAAGTCAATGCGGAAAACCTGAGCACTCACACAGGTGGGTGGAGGTGAAGGGAATGAGCACTTTTACAGCCTTTTTGGCGAGGTGGGGGAACTCGGTCTCCACAGACAGCCACAAGTGGGCAAGTGTCACTTTACTCGTCTTTTTCTCGTTCTTTTGTGTCTCACGCTGCGCCTCCCCAGAAGCTCTCTGGCGCCCCCCAGGGGAGGCGCGCCTCACACTTTGAAAACCGCTGGTCTAGAGAATGCACCAGACAGCATCTAAGACCTGCAAAAATCTAAATTTTCTAGGGGGAGGCCCCCCAAACCCTTTGTGCGTCTTTTCGTCCGCGCGCATTTTCAGGACAATCTCTATTGGGCTCAGGGCCATCTGTAAATTGGCTTAGATGGCCCACAGGGCCATCTCCCAAAATCCTTAATGTCATGCACTGGCAGCACTTGCAGTAAACGTGTTACCTTGGAGGCGAAGATGGCCTTGTCGTTGGGAGCGTCTCGAAGCAGAGAAACCGTCAGTTTGGTGGGAATGTCTCCGAACCCTGGGATCTTATAGGAGCCAGGACCCCGGGTGAGGAGGACCCCCTGGGGGGAGTAATGCAGCTCCTCCAGGGTGAAGAGGCCCACTCCCTGCATGAATGCCCCCTCCACCTAAACACAACATAAGAATAATAATAACAAGACGTTAATTTAGAATAGAATAGAATCCTTTACTGTCATTATACAGGTACTATACTTCCCCGAAACATTGTGGAACAATTCGTGCACTCACCTGCCCGATGTCTATGGCTGGGTTCAGGCTGTGGCCGACGTCCATCACTATGGTGGTGCTCAGGTTCTACAACACAATTATAATAAACATTTTAATATTTAATTTACACAAAAAAGACTAGGCATTCTGAGAGGAAGTGCATTTTTGTATTAATTGTTTTACTTATATGCCCTTTGCGTCAATTAAGATAAATAACACCAACTAATTAACAATTAGTGTTAATTATAGACTGATTGAGCCAATAAGGGCCTGGTTTGACTTTGATCTGGTAACAAACAGGATGGTATCGAAGGTGAATACAGTAAAAAAACAGGGGGCCTATTAATGAGCCCTGTGGGACTCCTTTTTATTTACACAAAAAAGAGCAGGCAATCTATTTGGACAGTTTAAACTATAACAGATCCCTTAATCAATATTTTCTGATTTATTTTTTTTAAGTTTGTACCTTGTGAGCTCCGGTCAGGCAGTCGATCTCCACCTCCGAACACGCCACCCCGTACGTGAAGTAGTTGAACGCTCGGCCGGAGTTTGTTTCAAAGTCGTAACCCAGATCAGGCGTCCTGATAGGAAACAGGAAGCAGTCAAACTCCGTACAGAGCTTCATTTATCAACAGGTGAACTGACCGGGTGAACTCACTTGTAGAAACCGTTGGCGCTGAGGTTGACCCGGTTGAAGTACGCTGCTCTCACCTGAAACACCGACAGAAGGGTTAATGACTGTGATTACACCTGTAGAAAGGTGTTGTGAAAATACTGAGTGTCCCCTTCCAACATGAGAGTAACCTGATAACAAAGGTATCAACTGTAGCTGTGAACATGACAGGATGTGTGATTACCTAGAAGAGCATCAGGACTGTTTGAGGCATATGATAGCTATGTGATTAACATGATGATTCAGCCCCTATGGAGAGAGACATATGACAAGCATGATCATTTCTGACGTGGAGCTAATCTGAAGTAAACATTGAATACTGCTTTCTATTCCTCCATCTTGTGACTGTGGAACTCCCTCTCTTGGATATCAGCATGTGAAGGACACTGTTCAGGAACTAGTTGATGCTCTGTATGTGATGACTACTTCCATTCTGGAGAGGA